GAGGGGACCCCGGCGTCTGGGGGAAGGGTGCGGGACTGGCTGAGGGGACCCCGGCGTCTGGGGGAAGGGTGCGGGGCTGGCTGGGGGGATCCCGGCGTCTGGGGGAAGGGTGCTGGGGAAGGGGCTGGCTGACTGGCTGGGGGGACGCTAGTGCCCGTGGCATTGCTGAGTTCCTTAGCTGTGTGCCTATGCTGTGGAGGTGAAAGCAGGACGGAAGGAGCCCTGTGTCCTGAGCCTCTCCCAACGCCACGGGCAGTGCGAGTGAGTAGCACACACGGGTGCCCCGGCTCCGGAGGGAGGTTGCCTGCCCACCGTGACTCTTGCTCGCAGGCGCAGGGCACATTGGCAGAGTGAAGCACAGGAATTATTCAGTCTTCACCTGGGCTGTTTTGGCAAGGGCGGCTGTGTAGAGAGTCCCACCAGGGGTTAGTGTATTGGGAGAAGGTTGGCATGTCCCATGCTATTGTAGGGGGTGAGTAGACTTTGGTGGGACTGTGTTCCTCTTCTCTATTGTTTGAGCATCTCTGCCCTTGCTCTGATTCCATTAGTATCCCTTGCTTCCAGTGTGTGGGCCTGGGTGATTAGTTAGTTCAATGATGTCTTTCTGGAATAGACTCAGCAGCATTATGTGACTATTGTTTGCTGAAGAGACGTCTTCTGGAGTGTTGCTCTCTGGGAGATGGGGTACATCAGGGAAATCCCCATGGTGTCACCCCCAGGGTGATGTCATACTGGAGGTTACAGGAAACATTTCATTATTTGCTTTGGTTTTTATCTTTTTATAGTAAAGAAAAGAAAATTCAGATGGATTTTTTTTTCCTACTTGCTGTTAGTGGGTAGGCAACTATCTGGAAAGTTTGCAGTGACTCTTGGGGATGCTTTGCTCTGGGTAGCTGAACTCCTGTCTTGCATTTGGAATTAAAATCAGATCATCCCTATGCTCTTGAGTGCTGAGGTGGAACTCTTAATGTCAGACTGACAACTATTGTTGTGAGCCTATTACAATTAATAGTTAAAGCTTTAATGTTCATGAAACCAAATTAAAATCCATGTGAAAAGAGAAAATCACTCGCGTGTCTGAAAAGGCGATTGAAGGTTTTTTGACTTTTTTTCTTTGAGGAACATAAAGAGGAGAAAATAGGAACTTATATTGGAGCTTCCCAGGAAACGCCCTTTCCATGCAGGACTTAAGGGTAGATCTTCCCTGCAACACATACAAGTAGATGGAACAGCACTGAGGCCTGCTGTACAAACAGATTTTGTGCCAATTTAACTAGTTCACTTAACAAAGTGATTTTTTTTTAACTAAAGTCGTTATTCTGCTATAACTGCTAGTGTGGATACAGCCATAGTGTTATACTGGTACCTTGTGTCCATATAACTTATTCCCATACAGGAATAGCTTTACCAGTGTAAAGGCCCTTTATGCCGATATAACTGCCTCCACAGTAGAGGGGTTGTATCACTAGAAGAGTTAAAGCTATACCACTTTTGTGGGTAGCAAAGGCCTGAGAAATGGAATGGCCCCTCCACTGCCATCAGCACATTTGCTCTTGGAGTCTTCCCTCTCACTTTGGAGTGCTGTCCTCTAAACCAGGGGTTCTCAAACTTCATTGTACCATGACTCCCTTCTGACAACAAAAATTACTACACTACCCTAGGAGGAGGGGACTTCTGAAGCCTGAGCCCCACTATCCAGGGCTGGAGGGCCAATTCCAAAGCTTGGTGGGGCCAAAACTGAAGCCTAAGGGCTTATGCCCCAGGTGGGGGGGCCTGTAACCTGAACCCCGCCACCCAGGGCTGAAGCCCTTGGGCTTTGGCTTTGGCCCCGGGCCCCAGCAAGTCTAATGCCAGTCCTGGCAACCCCATTAAAACGGGGTCCCAACCCACAGTTTGAGAACCGCTGCTCTAAACAGACAGAAAAGTGTCCCTGCTTCCTGGTTGTACAGTCAACTCCCCAGCTCTTCTGGTATAGTCTGTGGACCCATGGCCAGGGAGTTTAGCATGCTTCCTTTATCATGTGCGGATCAGGGAGCATCTTTGGGAACGGTTCCTCCATATGCATATTTTTGCATGCATCTCCCCGTATGTCAGGGGTCGGCAACCTTTCAGAAGTGGTGTGCCGAGTCTTCATTTATTCACTCTAATTTAAGGTTTTGCGTGCCAGTAATACATTTTAACATTTTTAGAAGATCTCTTTCTATAAGACTATAATATATAACTAAACTATTGTTGTATGTAAAGTAAATAAGGGTTTTAAAAATGTTTAAGAAACTTCATTTAAAATTAAATTAAAATGCAGAGCCCCTGGAGCGGTGGGCCAGGACGCAGGCAGTGTGAGTGCCACTGAAAATCAGCTTGCGTACCGCCTTCGGCACGCGTGCCATAGGTTGCCTACCCCTGCTGTATGTCATGTGATAAATGCTCCTCCTCACTGTCCCCAGCAATGTAGAGATAGAGAGCAGGGCCTGTGGTCTATTTGGTTCCAGGAGAAATACAGCCATGAGGTCAGCAACACCTTTTGCTCTAGAATCTTTTCGTTTTTGTGCTGTTATGAGGCTTCTCTCTGTTTCCAGGTTGATTATCCATTCACAGGAAAAGGACCCGTCTGACCAGGATAACATTCCCATCAACAGCCGTTTTAGATGTGTGCAAGGTACTGACCCTCCCACACCTGCCCCTCAGCCAGAAATCCACTGCTGTTTTTCCTAGCTGTACAAATGGGGACTTCCCCATGGAACTAAAAGTCAGAGCTTACAATTACAGCTTCCTACTTCTTTCTTCTCCCAAACCGGTGTGGGGATTTGGTCCATCTCGATATAAATGTTGATGTGTGGATACTTGGCTAGTTCAGCTGTCAGCATGAAGGATGGCATATGGAGCCCTTAGAGGGGTGCGTTTTGGTGGCTCCCATGATGGGAGAGGGCAAAAAGCACAGAACAGGCTGGGTCTCATGAGATTCCAAGTCCCCACAGGACTTTCAGGGTAGGCTTGAGGTCTTGTGGGATTTGGAGCCATAAGATTTTTCATGGATCCACAGGTCCGGTGCTATGACCCCAGCTTTGGAACAGCCTCTGGGAGGATCCCATCAGTGAGCGAGACCCCCTAAGGGTCTCACTCTTCCTTGAGGGTAAGCCCCGCAGCTTCACCGCCTCCCTGGGCTGGTTCTCTGGTCCTTCAGCACTCCTGCTTCCCATCGTGAGCTCCGTTCAGTGAGTCCCATTGAGGCAGACCCCTGTACAATCTTAGGGAGCAACGCCCCTCCAACAGCATCTGCAGTGACATTCAGCCAGCGTTGTCAAAAACAGAAGGGTTTGTTAGTCAACTGGAATACAGCATAAAAAGTTCTTGGTAAGGACAGAGAGAAGAAAGTTACAGCATTGTCCGTCTGAGTTAACCCAGGACCCCAGCCAAGCCATGTCCCCTCCCTTGGCTCCTGCTCTGTCCCTCCTTGTTCAAGTTCCCAGGCCAGTCCCACCTGGACCCTCCTCAGGCCTCTGTTGTCCAGCTGGTCAAACATCGCTGACTTCCTGTAGAGGGGGTGGGCCATCCAAGGTCATTAGTTGCTATGTGCCAAATGTCCCAGTGTTTGGCTTTGCTATTGTCTTCATGGACTTGGGGCCCCAACCTCAGATAGCTAGGCATCAGTCACACTTGCCTCACTGGGCCTCCCCAAAGAGCAAACAGCTCTTTTCCCCCACCTAGAGAACAATGCCGCATAAAGGGGAAACTGAGGCACAGTATTCATACAAAAGATTACAGAAAATTCCCACTCTATGACAAGAGCTCACCGGATTTTGCACACGATTTGGAGCCATGAAAAGAGCTATGTGTTCAGAGCCACTTCCTGTATGCTGGTTTCCAGCAGTCAGCCCACCCTCGCTCTCTTATCCATGTAGCTGCAGGCTTATGCTAGTCACTGCTTTGGGGTGGGGAAGGAATTTTTCCTCATGCCACCAGATTTGCCAAGGCTGGCTGGCTTTTTTTCACTTTCCTCACAGTGAAATCTAGGGTTTGGGGTTGGGCAGCTAGAAGGCACAGTTTGGACCTATGTGAGCGTCGTTTAGTTGTTGCATATTTGGCAGGTGCCCAGTGCAGGAACTCGCTAATTTAGGCTCCAGATCCAAAAAGGTAACATAGTGGGCATCCCAAGGGCATCTCCTTATGAGAGGGGGGCATCGTGTCTAGCCCCCTGTGGGCAGCAGGGGCCGGGAACTATCTCAATGTGCTTGACGGCAGTGCTGCCTAGGGATTGAGGTCCCCTCTTGTTTCAGCCTCTGAAAGGGGGTGGGCTGCTAGTGGGCAAGTGGAGGTGCCCAGAGACCCTCCTAGTGTGATGATTGGCTCTCACTGTGCTGGGAGCCCCCAAGAATTGGCAAAGGATCAGTGGGGTGCCAGTGACTGCCCTGGGCTGTCCCCCAGTGCAACCTTATGTAATTTGACTAATAAAGTTGCGACCTGGTTAAAACCCATACCACGTGTGCTTGCCTTTTTCCGTGCTGTGAGCACCCCGATATCCAGCATGAGTCAGTAGTGACTGAAAATCAGGGGCTATTTGTCCCCTTTTGTGACAATGTGGGTTGGGGAGCCTTGGTGTTGGTGTCAGAAACTACTGCCTGGAATGGCATCAAATGGCCCTCTCTACTGGCAGCTCCACAGAGGCCAAAGATAGTATGGGAAATGGGGTCTGAACGGACTGAGGGCTTGTCTACATGAGGAAATTTACCAGCAGAACTATACCTTATAATTTTCCTGCGATACTTCCTGCGGGGGGAAGAGAACACTTTTTCTGCAGTAAGTGTCCACAAGGGGCATTATACCAGTATAGTTATGGTATGTTTCTGCTTGTAAATTTCTCCATGTAGACAAGCCAGAGACTTGTTGGTGGACCTGTGTATGTGGGGAGCTAGCACTGCTGTTACTGCTCATGCTGCACTTGGGGAGTCAATCTCCAGGACTGGCAGGCTGGTACCTCTCATTTTAAACACACCGCTGTATAACTTCCCTGAATTTGGAGACCCATTTGCAGGGGGACCTCTGTCCAGTGTGGCCCAGCCTGAGGGGTCGTAACTCTCTCCAGTAGTGCCACTACTAGTGGTGAGAGACATGGAAGGAGTTGGTTCCTTTGCTGGGGCCTGGGATCTCCTTGTGTTGAGGGCAAGCATTGTGCTTGTGTTGTATGTACTGAGTCTCTGCTCCTGGACAGGGTGAACTTTCCTGATCCTTCTCTCTTGTTTTCCAGAGGCTGAAGAAACTCTGTTGATTGATATAGCGACAAACAGTGAGTCTGTTATGATGAGAGCTTTCTTCAACAAATATATCATCTCTCCATCACTGACACACATTCCTTCCTGTTTCACCCACTCTGCCTCCCCATCTTGTCTCTTCCCCTTGTGCCCTCTGCTCTACCCCTATTGCTGTCCCTGTGCTAGTTATGGATTGAAAGGCTGTAGAGGGGTTGGCTGGCTTTGTTACTCTTTTGGAAAATGCTCATTACCACAGGGAGTGTGATCTAAATACTTAGATCAAAAGGTGTCACTTGGCTGAGTTTTGACTTCTCCCTTAATGCTACCCCTTCCCTTCTCCCAAAACCCCTCCCTGTGAGTCTGTTTGACTTTTCCCGGAACTTAACTTGCCAGCCTCTCGCTTTCCTCCTTCTGTACTATATTATTGCTCTACTCCGTGCTGCCACAGAAGCAGCCCCATGGTTGGAGTGCAGGGGCAGTAGATGATGCCCACATTGGAAGTGTAACCTGATCAGGGCCTCTTAGGAGGTTTTCATACCTTGCAGGGTCCCATGGTGCTTTGCATGCAGCATAGACAGGTATAGGTAGTCTTTACTTTGCTTTGCACAGTGGGAGGTGGGGAGGTGGATATTAGGAAACACTATTTCACTAGGAGGGTGGTGAAGCCCTGGAATGTGTTACCTAGGGAAGTGGTGGAATCTCCATCCTTAGAGGTTTTTAAGGCCCAGCTTGACAAAGCCCTGGCGGGGTTGATTTAGTTGGTGTTGGTCCTGCTTTGAGCAGGGGATTGGACTAGATGACCTCCTGAGGTCTCTTCCAACCCTAATATTCTATGATTCTAAGAACAGATGCACTTGATGATTAGGTTATCTTTGTAGCCTGTGGGCTGCTTGTCTTGGGGATCTGGAATCACTCTAATGGTCTGAAAATGTGTCTACTGCTACAAATACCATCTTGGATCCCTGTCCCCATTTGATACGGCATTTGGTGCTTGCAGTGTCACTGTTTCCTTTGTGAAGGCAGCTTCCCCTGTTATTTGTGAGTGTCTTTCACACAGCAGCAGGGGAGAGAAGTAGTTTTAAAAATCAGGAAAATGGCATTGGAACCCCCTCCCACCCACAAATTGGTGGGAGTCTCAGGGGCACAAGGAGGACCCGACACTGCCTCAAACTCACTTTTAAAAATAGACTAAATGTCAAGATAACAGCAAATAAATGAGGAATTCAATCATGAGCCCAGAGGAGCAAATGGCAGCTAGTGGCTTGTTCACTGGAGGGGTTTAAAGGTCAAGAAGCCGAACCTGTCTGTGTCTTGGTGTGTGTGTTTTGTATGTCTGAAGCTGGCTGCAAGATCAGAATACAGGGAGACTGCACACCAGAGCGCCTCTTTGAGATCCCCGATGAGGAACGCTGCCTGGGGTTCCTCACCGAAGTGCTGAATGTACAAGAAGGTAACCACACTTACAGCCATGTGTGTATCTCTGGGGCTCAAGAGCAGTTTCTGACAGCGATGTTTCCTTCTCCAGCCCAATCGAAAGCGCCTCTTCCTGAGCACAGCGAGCCAGCCAGCTGGTATCAGGTGGAGAAAAACCTCCCAGCTCCTCCTCAGTCATCTGTTTCAGGTACTGGAGTGAGTCCCACCTCTGCAGTCGCTACTCTGTGTTCAGGGCACAGTCATAGGGCCCTTGTTTTGAATAGTTGAGTGAGATACATACAAAACTATGGCCTCTGCAGGAGCTTTGATTTTCATTGTTCCTGTTATGTAGGAGCCTGGTTAGTGCTTTTCCCCCATCCCCCCACTAACTCCCACAAAAAATCCCACCTCCTGCTCCTAGTGTGGTGTTACCATGGATTGATGTCTTATTGACATACTGTATCTCCCTCTGCCAAAGTCCCTCTTGGTTCATAATTGTCTCTCCACCCCTTGGTCTGTCCATCTTCTCACTCTCTGCTCCCCCTTGCCTCTGTCAGCATCTCTTCCCCTCACCCTCTTGGCACCATCAGGGTTAGTATAACACTGCTACCCCTTGCCACTCCCACATTCCTGTGGGGATCTCTCTTCCCCCTCCTGGAGTTAGGTTGCCCCCTCTAGGTTCTTGTTAAGCTGTTTTCTGAAGAACATCTGCCTGGGCCTCAATCTCACCAGCCAAGCTTCTGTCATTACAGGGGTTCTAGGCTTTGAAGATCATTTCAATGCCATAAGTTTGGAGAAGAAAAGAAACTTACAAAACCAGCAAATGGGATCTCGCCGGGAGCCCCCGCCCCCTCCTCCTCCGCAAAATAGGCAGTAAGTAGCATCCCAGAGCTGTTGCCTTTACTCTCCAGTATCCTAGGCAGTAACCCCAGTTTGAAGTCTATGGTTGTCTCCTGTCTAGGTTTCATCGAGAGAGGGAAAGTGTGGCCAGAGACCAGCCAAAAGTAACCAACACCATGCGCAAGCTGTTTGTGCCCAACACGCAGTCTGGGCAAAGAGAGGGTCTCATCAAACACTTGCTTGCCAAAAGAGAGAAGGAATACGTTAACATTCAGAGCTTCAGGTCAGCGCTGCCCCCAGAGCCATAGCCACGAGGCACAGTGTATGTAGGGGTAGTGAGAAGCAGAGATTTTCCCAGCTTCTGTGGGCTACTGCCTTGAACCCAGCCCAGGTCTCAAAATCAGCTTCTGCTGATGGATGGCCTATGTGAAACAAGTAGTGGGGTTTCAGTCCAGTTCGTAGGTGGCCACAGTACAACCCTACAGCCATCATATTGGCACTTCCCGGTGTCCTTATGAGTAATCTCAGCCCAGGGGCTGAGGGTTAAATTCCCCCAAGCAGAACTGAGGCATGTTGGCAGAGGTGCAGTAACGGGAGCTTGCACTGCTGTTGCCCATGCTGCATTGTCCTATGAATAAAAAGGGCTTCATGGTTGCCAATCTGGTGCCTTTTTGCCAACATGGAATTCACTTTCAGCATGCAGAAAGCATGGTGTGTATCATGTAGCTAGGCCCCCAATGAGGTGTCCCTTGCGTTGCAGAGCTCTGTGACATCCTTAGTACATTAGAAATGTGGCATGCGCAGAATTCTCTGTGTTTTCCAGTCTTTGACAGAGCTCTTCATGTTATGTGTAGTTCATGGGCCTTTTTACATAGGACCCTCATGCAATTCAGACACTCCCTGTCTTGATGTTGTGTGCATTAGAGAGTCTGGACCTATTCAGTAAAGCCCTGCCCCAGCAGCATGGCTGCTCTTGTGTGTATTGCAGGTTTTTTGTGGGAACGTGGAATGTGAACGGCCAGTCTCCGGACAGTGGATTGGAACCCTGGCTAGTCTGTGACTCAGACCCCCCAGATGTCTACTGTATTGGGTGAGGCGTGAACTCCTGTTCACTTACACATACACATCTTCAGTCTCGCTCCCTTCCCTTGGACACTGGTGGATTTTATTTATTTCAAATTCCCAGGCTTCCTAGTGGACTCCAAACTTTACATTGGTGCCTAGCATGTACCCTGGGACTCAGAAGGGAGGGGAATCTCCTTCACAAGGCTGGAGTAGTCAGGACGATGCAAAGAAGCAGCCAAAAGTCAAGTAGATTCCTTGAGCTAACAGAGACCCAGCTCATCCCCAGCATTAGCAAAGCAGGCCAAACTAATGCCCCTCAGGGAAGTGGTCTCTGGAAGGGGCCTGTAAGACACTGCAAGAGAGCCATGGTGCCTTCTTTTGAGCTAGGCCCAGTTGACCTTCCTCCAGGATGAATGACCATAGAGAGATTCTTACTGGACCTCCTGCAGTGCCATCTTCTGATGGGGGTACAGAGGGGAGACTGGTTTGGGGGAGAGGGGAAGTGTCCTAAATAGACTTGTTTTTAGGTTCCAGGAGTTGGACCTCAGCACAGAGGCTTTTTTCTACTTTGACTCTGTGAAGGAGCAAGAATGGCTGGCTGCTGTGGAGAAGGCCTTGCACCCCAAGGCGAAGTATAAGAAAGTGAGTCCTACTCAACCATCTCCTCTGGCATCCAAGCTGGTGGGACTGGGAAGGAGGGCAGGAATGAAGCTCACACTTTCCCAACTCAGATCGTCCATATGTCACCCAACCAAAATGGCCAAGAGCAGAGTCCCCATGGATGTGTACCTGACACCACTAATGGAATAGTTTCCCAGGCAGGGAGAGTCACTGTGGGACTAGAATAAATCTGGAGATAGTTGTAGGGTAGAAAAATCCTCCAATAACACCTCCCTGGCCGTTTGGTGGGTGCCTCATGAGTGGGGCAACAACAACCAAAAAATGCCTCCAGAGAGCTGACAGGACATGTACTCAGTGTGAGATGTGCGCCCTCCTACAGGCAGGCAATAAGAGGCAGAGGCGGGTCAAATTCCACATTTGCCTTGTTCTGGTAGCGCCGCAACTATAAAAAACGGGTGTATCTTGTTCTAAGGAGCCAAGTGAATAGCTTTTCCTTGAAGGAACAAAATTGCTTGTATAGGGGAAGTTAGCTAGGAGACTGTGCCTTGGGAAAGAGCAACTTTAGTTGTAATGTTGCTAGCTGGCTCCTTCCTGACGTGTCAGGACTGAGTCACTACAGCTTTTCTTGCTGGCGTAGCAGGCCTTCTGGCAGGTGGCTCTGTCTTAAGACATCAGTTAATTTCCCCTTTCTCCTCCCCCACCATGTTTTGCTGTGACATCCATGCACTACTATTTTTTGTAGAGTCCTGTGACACAAGTTACAGGTGCTGAAAGCAGGCAAGTTGAGCACTTGGGGAATTGATAAAGGAGGCCTGGTCTCCCCGCTCTTGCGTCATTTAAATTTAAAAACCGTGTTCTCCATCACATGTATAAGGCTGATCACACAGGAGATAGCTGCAGGCAAGGTGGAAGTGACTGAAATCATAGATAAGGTTCATGGTTAAAGATGCAGAGTTCAGAATCCTGCAAAATATTACAATGTCTCTAGCTCCTCCTCCAGTGAGGGATTGTAACACCTGCTGATGGGGCATTTCTGTGCACCCTCTTGATGTGGAGGTTTCCTTCCCATTAACATTAATAACACTTTGTACTTCTCTAGTGAGCATTTCAAAGCACTTCACACTGGTCAATTATGCCTCACAACCCGCTGAGCTGGGGGAAGTAACACCCCCATTTAGAAGATGGGGAACTCCTGGACTGGGAGGTAAAGTGACTTGCCCAGAGTCACCCAGAAGAGACAGTGGCAGAGCCAGGATCCATTCAGCAAGAGACGGTGCACACAGGTGCCATGTTAATAGTTGTAGGATGAGTTGAACAGTGGAGAATGATCTCCTTTCTTCCGTCTTGCAGAAGGAGCAAATGCTCTCTGGGAGGCAGGCAGTGCGTAGGACCCCAGAGATGCTGCTTTGTGGTGCCTGCAGGTCAGCATATCTGACTCTGTGGATGCTTCACTTGCTGGCTGTTTCCCCTACATTGAAATCACTCATGCAAAGAGTTGGGAATTTAAACAGTGAGCTCCACTGCCAGTTTGTTGTACTTCTGTATAAGCACAGGGGGTGAGAAATCGGGGATTGCATTACAGCTGATCTGGAAACTCATGGAATTTTTATTTATTTATTTTGCAGGTGCAGGTGGTCCGTCTGGTTGGGATGATGCTGATTGTGTTTGCCAGGAAGGATCAACTGAGTTATATCACAGATATCATGGCAGAGACTGTGGGGACTGGAATAATGGGGAAAATGGTGAGTGCTCTTGGTCAGTGGGTGCATGGCCTCTGAATAGCTGACTCTGGTGTACGTTTGTGTGAAATGTGGTCTGTGGTACAGTGTCTTGCCTTACTCTCTCATCCCTGCTGCCTCTTTTCCTGTCAGTATGCCTCTTGTTTTCATATTCTCCGTGCCTTTTCCCAGCTCTCTCCTGTTCAATCTGTTATCCAACCTCTTTTGTATGTGTTTGTGTAACAGTCTCACCAGTAACTCTGTCCCCAGGGTAACAAGGGCGGTGTGGCCGTGAGGTTTGTATTCCACAACACCACCTTCTGCATCGTCAATTCCCACCTCGCTGCTCACGTGGAGGACTTTGAGCGACGGAACCAGGATTACAAGGATATCTGTGCCCGGTTAAGCTTCCTGCCCCCTGACCAGGGCCTGCCTCAGCTGAGCATCATGAAACACGAGTGAGTCTCCAACTCCACATTCCTTCTCCAAGGTCTGTGAAATCTTAGCTAGAAATTGCTACCAGCAAGAGCCCAAGTTTAGACAAACCTGCAGATTAATCGACAAGGTGAGGAAAATGCCAGAGTCTTGTCTACACTAACACTCCTGTTGGTGCAGTTGAGCCAGTGATTGCACTGGTGGGCAGTGTTCTTGTAGTGGTTCACGGGGCCAGCCTGTCTCTAGTACCCTTCTCTTGCAAGAAGTCTGTAATGTGCTCATCTCAGCAGCTGCCACTCTTGAGTCAAAGGCTGATTATTACATAGTTGTGGAAAACCTAGGGTGTTTCTAGAACAACAGACAAACTGTGGGTTTTATTCCAGGTTTTTCTGGTTTGTTCATTTTTGAGCTCTTGTTACTTGGAAGGATTTACATGAACAGTTCTCTCAGTCTGAAAGGTTTTTGATTCTAGAAATGGGCTCAGATTTCAATCTGTGAATATAAATGTTGTAAAAGGCTAAGAAAATTGAGAGTGTCAAAGTTTTTGTTATACCTGTTGGGAAGTGATGAGAAGGCTATAGGACTGTCTGAAAGCCTATGTGTGAGGGCAACAGGAGGAGTCATTGGTGTGGTGATTGCAGAGAGGGGTGTGATTAGCGGGTGGAACAATGAGATAGGACAGCCAGGAGCGCTGCCACCTTTTCTGCCGCCCTAGGCGGCGGAAGGTCCCGCCCCGAAATGCTGCCCCCCACAGAGGCGGCGGAAGGTCCCGCCGCCAAAATACCGCCGCAGTCGCCACCCCCCAAATTGTAGCACCCTAGGCAACTGCCTAGGTCGCCTAATGGGTTGCGCCGGCCCTGAGGACAGCTGCATTTAGATCTTTGTGGATTTTTAAGAGACCTGCATGTGCGTCCTACCAGCTCAGCATCAGTCTGTGTGCTCAGCATAGGTGCATTGGGTTGGTCAGATCTCGGTAATGTATTAGGTACTGGAAAAGCAAACAAACTGGTAGACTTGTATGGGATCCAAGGGCAGAAGCAAAAGGCCTAACTGTTCTTATGCATGCCTTACAGAAGTGCAAGCTTTTCCTTATGGGTGATGTGTGCGCCTTGTGTTGGTGGGATAAATACCACTGTGCAGTGAATCGTGTTGTACCTCTTATTTGTTTCATTTCATGAAAACATTGGTGGGTTTTTCCACTTTGTTTTCAGACTGAGGAAAACGTCAGCAGCCCTTCCCGAGGATCGTGGTGGATTCTCCATCACTGGCATTTTTAAATCAGGATTGGCTGTTTTTCTAAAAGATCTGCTCTGGTTCGCACAAACATTATTGTGGGGCAGTTCTCTGGCCTGTGCTGTCCAGGGGGTCAGACTGGATGGTCACAATGGGCCCTTCTGTCCTTGGAATCTCTGAGTTGTTAGCTAGCTAACTGCTCGATTCCATATAGATCACCCACCTTTGGGATGCTATCTCTGTAGACGCTTACAGGAGTGGCAGCTACTATCATATTTTGATTCTCTTATCTGTTCTGTTGTGCTCTAGCTATCCCGAGAGACCCCCTTTTCAACCTGACATCCCCATCTCTCTCTCCCAAGGGAGTTCTGTATGAACTGTGGGCTTTTCTTTTCCATGTTTGCCTTTGTGTGTAGTGTTGTCATCTGGCTGGGAGACCTAAACTACAGGTTGTGCCTCCCTGATGCCAGTGAGGTGAAAACTCTGATCAGTAAGAATGAGCTTCAGAAGCTGTTGACGTATGACCAGGTGAGTGAACTTCAGCCATGTGGGTCAAATTGGGTCATCCTGTTTTAATATATCCCTGCGCTTGGGAGGGCTGGCATGTACCCTGTGGTGATGAGATCTAGGGCTGGTCCACACTAACCCCCCACTTCGAACTAAGATACGCAACTTCAGCTACGTGAATAACGTAGCTGAAGTCGAAGTATCTTAGTTCGAACTTACCACAGGTCCACACGTGGCAGGCAGGCTCCCCCGTCGACTCCGCGTACTCCTCTCGCGGAGCAGGAGTACTGGCATCGACTGCGAGCACTTCCGGGATCGATCCGGGATTGATTTATCGCATCTAGACAAGACGCGATAAATCGATCCCAGAAGATCGATTGCTTACCGCCGGACCTGGAAGTAAGTATAGACGTACCCGTAGACATGGCTCTCGGGTGTTTTTGTTACTTGCCGTTTTAGTTCCCATTAAAAATATTAAAAAGTGTGTCTGGCTGAAGGATGTGATGTTTAGGCTGTAGGAATGTGTATTAAAGCTAAGAGATACACCCTGCATACCCAATAGCTCCTCTCACCAGCTCTTGAGGACAGAGGGGGAACAATGACAGAGGTCAGTCACAGCTCGGCGGGACCCTGGAAAGTGTGTTGCAGGAGCACTGGGGTTTCCTGCCTGTAACTGAGGCCTTGTGTGCTCCTCAACAAGCTGGACCTGAGTTCTGTGATGGGCGTGGGCTGTGCAGTATGTCCCTGGAGCACATTGGAAATTCCGGAGCAGCGTTGGATACATTTCAAAAAGGGGGGGTTATCCAGTGAAACACAAAAGGAACAATACACTCAGTGCAGTGTCCCTCAGAGCATTTATGGTGATAGTAAATCTGACTTCATGCTGCCTCTTACTTCTTAATTTCCAGGATGCCGCAGAATTTTGTATTGAAAATAACAAACTGAATTTTTGATGCTGTTAGGGGAACTTAGGAGCTTTTGCAACTGGATAGGAGATTTATTAGAGCTGGTTTGGCGTTGTCAGCCAAGTGCACCAGCTGTAGGTTTCTGCTAAAATGATCAGCAGTGAAGTAGTTAGCAATGGAGTTGCTTAACTGTCATCATTAGGTTTCAAAGTTAACACTTGGTTGAGATGAACGGAGCAGTTCATATCTCTCTTGTCTATTGGTTCATGCTGTCTACAGACTCAGGCAGGCCGCACTATGTCAGTTTGCACCTGTCTTTCGAAGGTTTTCTTTGCACTCAGAGCAGCTCTGTTTTGTAATGAATGTGTCTGTCTGGGGGCACGGTTCTGTCAGAAGGGGTGGGTTCTGAGACAGAGTCCATGGCTGTGGAGTAAAAGGGCCCTGCCTGTAACTCTGCTCTGCGGAGTTGTGAAGACTTTGCTGTTGTGCTGATAGGCTGTACCTTTTTGCCTCTAGTTGAATATTCAGCGGACTCATAAGAAAGCTTTTGCTGATTTCACAGAGGGAGAAATTAAATTCATCCCCACGTACAAATTTGACTCTAAAACAGACCGCTGGGATTCCAGGTAAGTCTGTTGATGATGGCCTGTTAACCTGTGATGCCAACAGTATCTTGCCACACAGCTTCTTTCCTTGGCTGAATTATTAGGATCTGATCCTTCTCCTGGAAACACGTCTGGAGCCATCAGCATGACATTGAGTAACCTAGTGGATCCCTCATAAATGGACTAGACATTACCTGGGACGGAGCTCTTTGCTGACGCAGAATGTCAGTGAGGCTAATGAATGAAACATACAGTTGATATTCCTCTGAGAGGCGTGGGGAGTACCTCTGAGGACAGAGAAACAACACAAAAGGCACTTGAGGGTTAGGAGTAAGTGCAGATAGTCTCAGAAAGAGTCAGCTTTGCTGTAGTCTGGTGGGCCTGGGGACAGAAGAGTCAGCCATGCCGAACTCTGGTTTAGCCTTCAGCACAGGCTCTTTGATTCCTCTGCCACACAAAGGCAAGAAATATTAACAGGAAACAAAAATGATAGTCCTGACCTAGGCTGGCACTGCAGGGTCCTCTTCCCCCAGTAGCTCAAGGATCATGGACCTCTCTTAGCCTCAGGGGCACCACGGGGCCTACCTGCCCTGTTGCAGCCTTCTGCTGCTGCTCAGGAAAGTGTCTCTCTCTACTGGCTCTCCCTCCTCCCTTACAGAACTGGGTCCTTATATCTTCCAGCTGGGAATTGGAGGCAATCATTAGCTGCTGCTCAACTGGATCCCAACACCTGTCCATTGGGCTTCTCCTTAGGCCAGGGCTTGCTGCTCCCTGGCTCTGCAGGCCCTTAAAGGGGAAGATTGCCCTGCTACTCTTGCCCATGCAAGCTCATCTGGGGAAAGATAATCCAAAACACAGAGACTCGAGGACCCTGGAAAGCAGGAACAGCTGACTAGACTTTCAGCAGTGGGGGCAGTGGGCAGTAAATTAAACTGTAGCTTGCACCGAAGTGTGGCAACAAAAGAAGCTAATGCAAATTGGGGCCACATATACAAAAGCCTCAGGTTATGGTGATAGCCCCCGCTGAGCCCATTCCACTTCTTATCACTGCAGTACCAGCAAGATGTTAACAGGCACTAAGAAGAGCAACCCCAGTGATTGCGGGGACGATGAATAGATCTGGGGCACTAAATCCATGTGTATGGGCTAGCTGACAACTGGGGCAGGGAGCCTAACTAGGTATTAGGAGGGTGCCACCCCCAGTGTAGGACTGTAGCCCTGGTAGGGGGCAGAGAGAAGAGAACAGAAGTAAGGGGATGCGATTTCAGAACGGTACCATTTTGGATGAGGAAAGTGGTGAGAGCCCCATCACTGAGGTGCTGCCTTAGGAAGTGTGTCCTGCAGGGACCAATCTGGCTGAGGAGGGGAATGGTCAGATGGACAGGAGGACTGTCTGATTTCCCTGTAACTTGTATATCTGCAGCGGGAAGTGTCGTGTGCCAGCCTGGTGTGATCGAATCCTCTGGAGAGGGGGGAACATTAATCAGCTCCGGTACCGCAGTCACATGGACCTGAAAACCAGCGACCACAAGCCAGTCAGCTCGTTGTTCCTTATTGGGGTAACTGTCACTTGATGTGCTGGGGGAGAACGCTTGGTTGAAGTTCCAAGTTAAAGGATCCATCTGCTGAAGCAAGGGATACAAACAACCGTGTTTGTATTGATATAAAAAGGAGGGGGGTGAGCAGAAATGAGTAATAGCCGCTGGGCAGCCTCACTTACCTCAGTCTCTGCAGCAGGGGACTCACAAGAGCTGCTGTTCTCATATGCAGCACAGGTTGGCTGTGCAACCAGAGCAGTTTTGTGCCATGGTGACACAGACAATGGTTGGAGTTTACACAGCAGACATACAGAGTATTCAGCAGGAAGGTTCCAGCCTTTGATTGCGTTAACAGTTTTTCTTAGGCTCTGACGTGTGACCCAACGTGTCTGCCACTGGGACCGGTGCGCTGAGCTGTTTGCAGCTGGCTCCTCCTCAGGGCTATGAGCTACCTGTAAACAATTGCACCCACTCCCATGATGCTGCTTCTGCTCTGCTTGGAGAAACAGGAACTCTGGGGTACTTCTGGCCTGGGAGGGCTGTGAATGGCTGAATATAAGCTGTGGGAGGGAAGAGACTTGAGATCCCTGGCCTGTTGGATGGAGCCAGCATGTGTGTCCAGTATTCCTCTCCCCCACTTCTGAACTAGGGTGGTCTCCTAGACATCTCATTGCTTTCTCCTCTTACCCAATCAAGCAGGCTGAAATCCTGAGGAATTTTCGGTAAGACTGCAGAGTGCCTGTGCTACTAGTTGCAGGCTGCCCTTAGAGTATTTCCTGCAAATAGCAGATCCTTCCTGGTGCCCGTTGGCCAGAAAAAGACACCATTACTGCAGGTATAATAACTTGCATGAAATTACCCATGAGACTTGGAGGAGCAACTGGGCCAATCTTCAGTCTTCAAAGCTGCACATGCGAAATGCCCAAGAATCTCCTCAGCTTCTGCTGCAGTTATTTATAAACCACTAAGGGAGTTTACACTATTGAGGCCTATACCTTCAGTGAGTATGATCTGATCTCCTGCAGGTGAAGATTGTGGATGAGCAGAGGTACCGGAGGTTGTTTGAGGATATTGTTCGCATGATGGACAGAATGGAGAATGACTTCCTTCCTTCATTGGAGCTTAGCCGGAGAGAGGTGAGAACAGAAACGGATTCTTTGTCTGCTTCCCGAAGACCAGCAGCTGCAGAAGGGCTAGAATTTCTCTAAAAGGACTCTGAGGCTCTGGTCTACACATAAAACTTAGGCTGACCTAGCTGCGGCGCTCAGGGCTGTGAAAAATTTCACGCTGTGAGTTACCACCATTAGGTTGATCTAACCCCAATGTAGACACAGGTAGGTCAACAGAAAGATTCTTCTGTCAACCTAGTTATCACCTATGGAAAAGCTCCTTCCGTCAGTGTAGGAAGCGTCTACGTTACGGTGCTGCAGTGGCACAGCTGCACGGCCTATAGCAGCTATAGTGTAGACATGGCCTGATAATGTTTTATTAAACTCCAACGTGGACAAATGTGCCAAAAACTAACTTCAGTTACCTCCCCACAACCAGGTATTGGGTTAGAAATTGTGCATTGCCCAGACCTCTCAGCAAGCACGCTGGTTGGGTGCACTTACAGTAACTCCTCACTTAACGTTGTAGTTATGGTCCTGAAAAATGCAACTTTATGCGAAACTATGTTAAGCGAATCCAATTTCCTCATAAGAATTAATGTAAATGGGGGGTTAGGTTCCAGGGAATTTTTTTTCCCCAGACAAAAGACATTATATACATATACAGTATAAGTTTTAAACAATTTTAAACAAACAGTTTAATATTGTACACAGCAATGAATGATTGTGAAGCTTGGTTGAGATGGTGGAGTCAGAGGGTGGAATATTTCCCAGGGAATGTCTTGCTGCTAAATGATGAACTAGCACTCGGCTGAGCCCTAATGGGGTAATACGTGTTGTTAATGTAGCCTCACACTCTTCAAGGCAGCATGGACTGAGGCAGGAGGGAGGAAACACAATAGATGCAGGGCAGTAGCTGCAAACACTTCCCTGCAAAAACTGAACATGATGATGATGAGCCCACGTTATCCAGCTGGAGCGCACCAATCCCTCCTCCTGACAGCTCATGCACGGCTGCACAGGTGCTGACTTTCCAAAGTGCTGGGGGGGTACATGCATGAGTGAGAGAGAGCGAGAGAGAGACGTGCATTGCCCCTTTAAGTACGCTGACCCCACTTCAAGTACAGTGCCCGTTGAAGCAGATCAGCCAGTTCAGACAGGAAGCAACAGTTTCCAGCAAGCTCCCTCCTTTCTGTCCCTGAGCCCTGTCCCCCTCCTCCACTTTGTGGAGAGGGGGTACGGATCGGGGACATCAGCACCCCTCTCCCCCCCTCCTCCAGCAAGTAGGAAGCTCGCAGGATCAGCTCCAAGGCAGAGGGCAGGTCAGGAGCAGCACGGCAGTGTGGGGGAGGGACAGCTGAACTGCTGCTGGGCAGCTGCCGAGCCACATACCTTACAGGGAATTTAGGGGTTCTAATCCCCACAAGGAGGGGCTGCTCTTCCAGAGAATCCTGCAAGCAGTGAGCTGCCAAAGATGTTATAAGGGAGCACTGCGCAACTTTAAACGAGCATGTTCCCTAATTGATCAGTGACGTAACAATAAAAACAAAGTTAACCGGGACAACTTTAAGTGAGGAGTTACTGTACTTCGCATTGTTGATGGAGATGCGGAGTCCTTATACCTAACTACAGTTCCCTGCAGGTAATAAGAAGAGTTGTTTTCTCTTTGCTCTGCAGTTTGTGTTTGAGAAGGTGAAGTTCCGGCAGCTACAGAAGGAGAAGTTCCAGATCACCAACAACGGGCAGGTCACCTGTCACTTCTCCTTCATCCCCAAACTCAATGATAGCCAGTACTGTAAACCATGGCTTCGGGCCGAGCCCTGTGAGGGGTACCTGGAGCCGAGTGAGTTTTATGCACTGTCTCTGTAGTGTCTTGGCTAAGGCCACCACCATTCTGTCCTTTCCCTCTCTCCTGCTGTTTGTCACCATTCCCACCCTCACGCACCGTCTGTCTCCCTTTCCACTTTGGATTTCTGCCACTCTGACCAGCTTTCTCCTGTGCTGTGTGTCTGTCCATGGAGGTCTCCATTACTTTTCCACTGTGGGGTTCTGCGAGTCCATGTGTGCCCCTTGCGTGTTTCAGATGAGACTGTGGACATCTCCCTGGATGTGTATGTCAGTAAGGACTCTGTGACCCTCCTAAACTCATGTGAGGACAGAATTGAGGATATCCTTGTCCTTCACCTGGACCGAGGCAAGGATTACTTCCTCACCATCAGTGGGAGCTACCTGCCCAGCTGCTTCGGCACCTCCCTGGAGGCTCTGTGCCGAATGAGACGACCAATCCGCGAAGTTCCTGTCACCAAACTTGTCGATCTGGTAAGGAGCAGTGGTCCTGAAGCTCCTGGGAGCTTGCTCCCTGAGATTTGCACTGTGGTTTATTAACCAGACACTGAACTGTCCCCCTCCTAAAAATGGCCGCACTTCCCAAGGGCTAACCTCCCTCACGTGGGTAATGGTCCTGGCTTGCCACTGCTTCCCCTCCACATGCTGCACCCTGGCTTTCCTCACATTCCCCTAAGGACTATTCACTGCTCTGTGCTTTCAACCCCACCCTCTCTTGATGGCTTCGCTTCTAATATTTAATGGGCTGAAAAGCTAATCCAGACCCTCATGGTCATGTTCCCGCTGCGTCTTTGGAATTGCCTGGGTTTCCTTATGGAAACCTTTTATTTTAGGGGGTGCTGATTATGATCAGCTCAGGGCACAGCGTAAGAGGAGTCTGTCATTTCCAGACATTGCCTCCAAGCAGTCCTGCGAGTAGCTGTTAGAGAGGCTGTCAGAAAATGCCAGAGTCTGGCCCTGATTTGGGTGCACAAGGAAATACAGGTCTTTTCCAAATGCTGCCAGTGACTTATCTGAACAAACTGTTGGGTTCTTCTAAAGCCAAAATCAATTCCCCATATTTATTCTGGCTCTGGACTTATGGGGCTTGCCCCGAGGCTAGGAGACAAGCTCAGAGAGAATGATAGCAACAGACAGTATCGATAGCACCCTCAACACACATGATGGCTTCACACCAAGCATGCACATTTGGCAGATGTGCTTGTTCGATGTATGAGCAGAGTGATCTTTGAGTTCCTCCTATAGATCCAGAGATTGGGCTGTAGGAGGTCCTGAGAGGAGATCTGTTATCTCTCTGGTGTTGTTGGGTTTAGATAGTGAAACTAGCCTACTGCATCAAAAGCTTTGCTCAAATTAAGGCCAACTTGACTTGGACTGTGACCCAGAATGGAGATAATCTCTAAAAGACAACAGGACAGAATGGTTGAAGGAGGGTCTGGAAATTGGATTGGTGTGGAATAGCGAGTGTATCTGGAGACGTGTTTGTGCGTGGTTCTCTCCAGTTCTGAATGTGCTTGCAGGGGCCAGGTGATAATGATTTGTTGTGGTTTAAGAACCAGCACCATTTCTGCTGTCAGCTGGAATGCCAGTCCAGGACCCAGAGCAGCCTATTGGAGGGTTTGCATCCACAGGAGCAGATGGCGTTCACACAGCAAAATTGAAAAAATAAAAAAATTGTAACTGTACTGACCACAGAAAGGGGACAGGCAAGCAGAAGGCCAGTGCCCTGGTGGGACAGGCAGTAAAGTGAGCCACTCTCTCTGCGATTAAAAAACGAGGAGTCCTTGTGGCACCTTAGAGACTAACAAATTTATTTGGGCATAAGCTTTCATGGGCTAGAGCCCACTTCATCAGATGTATGAAGTAAAAGATACAGGAGCAGGTATAAATACATGGCTGTTGGGTGTTGCCAGAGCCTAAGATTATGTTGCCTATCTCTGCTTCCGGTCACCTAGTGCTGTGGAAGGGGAGCCCACTTTGTCTAGGTTTTGGGGGTTCCTGACCCCAGGCCCCCTTGGGCTTTGCTGCCTTTCCATGGTAGCTGAGGGGTCCCTATGTACACAGGCTGGAAGGTGTGGGAGAACTCTGCTAGTTGAAAGAGGAGGCGTTATCATGTAGTACTGTTAAGTTGAGGCTGACTTGCTCTGGGCCTTTGGTGCATACGTTTTCCTGCCCCTAATTGCACAAAGTTCCTCATGGCTGTCTTTAACTCACCCGCTGCCACGCACGCAGAAATAGTCACAGGAGAAACTGGACAGGTCAGATTTTACAGGGACACTTGATGCTGATTGTGAAGACTCGGGGAGTGGGCAGAGAAATCTTCCAGGTAGGCACCTGTTTCCACCTCTGGCCATGGGTGTCTGCTGTGTGCTAAGCAGTGCTACAAGGTCACTAGGGGTGCTCACTGGAGTCCTAACAGGCCTTTACATCATGTGAGCAGCATTCCGGCTAATTGGGATCTAAATCTCCTGCTGCAGCTTTAACAGCAGTGGTGTCAGCAAAACATGTGAGAAGTAGCTGCCAGTCAGTGCTGGTGGGGTCTCAGGCTGCCGAGTCTGTTTCTTTTCTGCTTAATCATAAATCAGATTCTCTCTGTTAATGATGCTCTCCCCTCTCTCTCTCTCCTCTCCTCTCCTCTCCTCTCAGGGAGAAGACAGCTTCCTAGAAAAGGTAATGCAAGCCAATGCTGAGGGGGCTTTCTCAGTAGTTTTTGTTTGTACTCACTGTAAAAAATGAGAACTCAGACTTTTCCCATTTTCCTGGCGAGGGCAGGGGGAGACTGCTGCAGAGGGAGTGTCGGCTCCAGATGTGCCAGAAGGCACTGCTGTGGGCCTAGAACAGACAGGTACACTCTACAGTACTGAATTAGCCCCTGCATCCCCTCCTCAGAGCTGTGGGGGAAACAATCAACAAAGTCCTTATTCCACAATGACACTTTTGGACACAGTAATCCTTCCTGATGGGCAGGGGATAACACCTCTTGTGGTGAATGAGTAATTCACACTGGGCAATGCTTCTCCCCTGCCTGGGGGGATTTACAGTCTGAGCAAATGTTTAAACCTTACCTTGTACCATGGGAGCAGCTGTTCTAAGTAGGATTAATACATGCAGCATCCTACAAGCAAACCACAAACACTAAACACATTCTTGTTCCACAAACACTCAACACATTCTTGTAACACTATCTGTTTTAACTGTACTAACCCACAGGCGAGCCAGAGTCCAGCTATGCATTTTTCAGTGTTCAGTGAGGCCTGGGTCTTGGCATGAGTCGGCACCTGCCAGTGTTATGCAGCCATCACATCCATGTAATCCCTTAGCCCTGGTCTACAATAGGAAATTAGGTTGTTATAACTGTCGCTCAGGGGTGTGAACAATCAACCCCCCCCCCCCAAGCAACACAGTTAAACTGCCTTAACTCCTGGTGTAGACAGCAATAGTTGATGGGAGAATTCTGTCAGGGAAGTGGGCTGTAGCCCACGAAAGCTTACGCTCAAATAAATTTGTTAGTCTCTAAGGTGCCACAAGTACTCCTGTCCTTTTTGCGGATACAGACTAACACGGCTGCTACTCTGAAACCTGTCATGATGCCAACAGGAGAACCCCTCCTGTCAGGGTAGGTAGTGTCTATACGGAAGCGCTACAGTGACGCACTTGCTTGCTAAGTGTAGATGAGCCCTTAGATTTGATATTTCGTAACAGCCTGTGGTGTAGATTCAGCCCTGGGATAAGGATTTCAAGCTCTGGCCTTTGCTTTACAGGATCAAAGTTGTAGTTGGAGCATGCTCACTGCAGTGAACATGCTGCTCCAGATCTGTGGCCTTGTGTGTTTAGAGCCATGAGAGAGAGAGAGAGCCTTCACCTGCACATGATTTCTAGCACTTTAAAGCTAACGAGTCCTGCTTATTCAGACAGCCTCTGTGAAAGTGCGCCCTGTGATTGAGGGGAATCCCTACAGCTGCGCACGGGAAACCCTACCCAGCAGGGCTGGAAAAGGGCAGTTGCCAAGCAAGTGCACTTGGTGATTGGATTGCCACGTGCATGTGTGTAGAGGGCAGGGTTTGCTCTGGATGGCAGGTGTATTCCCAACAACAGTGCCTGCGGGTCAGCGCTGCATGCAGCTAGCGGAACTCCTCCAGGGTGATCTAAAACCGGGAACACACACTGTGGGTGAAGCCCTTTCCCTTGGGAAGTGAATGGAGAGTCCAAAGCAATGTAGTGTCTCAGCTGCTTCACGTGAGTAGCAAGGAAAATGAGGCAAAGGGAGGTGTGGGCACTCTATACTGAGTGGAGCCTGAATATAGCTATTCACCACCAGCAGGGTGGGCATTGGGGGCAGCGAATGGGGGCAGTTCAGCAGGCTTGAGAACAGGCATGTCAGAGTGCTAAGGGCATTAGTGAATGACTGTGCTAAACCCGCAGTCATGGGCAGCTAGCTGGTCGGGAAGGAAACAGCAATGGGATTGAACCTGGACAAATGAAAGCCAGTACGTCTGAGGGGAGGGGAGAGAACGTGTGATCTAAACCATGGATTCAGCTATAGAGCAAAAGGGTCCCGTAGTATGAGAGCACGCTAGGGCTGCTAGCAAACAGCCAGTTCTGTAGCAGCCAGTGGGACCTTGGGGCTGAATGTGCAGAAGCACCATGTGGCAGGCCAGACGAAGTCTCACTATGCAGCGCTTGAGCCCCCAGGCAGCAGGGAGCTGGCGTCCTGTTCCGGATGGTTTGGGATGTCGGCCTTTTAGAGTGAAGAGAAGAGCAGCAGGGGCTAGATTAAAAGGAAATATTTACTGGGACTTGCAGCTACGGTGGGGGAGCTGGAGCCATCTACAAATCCCGGGGGGTGTAACTAAGGGGATGGCATTGCCCAAAGGAACAATGAGCAGGTTCTCTGCTGCTGAGATGTGTTAGCCTGACAGAGGCTTGGAGATGCACAGGGAATCCCATCACCATGTCGGCAATACCTGCCCAGTGTGTATTGCTGGGCCCCCTTCAGCATTCTCTGGGACAGTGGAATGCTAACTCCCTAGCTTGCAGTGATCGTGTAGCTGTGTCAGTCCCACTTCCCAGGATATGAAAGAGACAGGGTGCGGGAGGTTCTTCTTATTCAGCTTCCGTTGGTGCGAGAGAGGAGGGAGACGCTTTTGAGCTACACAGAGCTCTTCTCAGGGCTGGCTAACTGCTTGGCTGCAATTTGCTGGTTTCCTTTCTAAGGACGGCTGATGTGAGAGCGTGAGCAGCTCCTAAGGCAGCAGGTGACTAGCTCTCTGCAGGAGCAGGCTGGGTGTAGGAGGCGGCAGCATGTGTCCAGCCCAGAGTGCTGTGGGTCTGCTTGCCTGAAGGTGGAGCTGGGCAGGAAGTTAGATTTGGCTCTTGTCTTTGGTGGGGGTGGGGAGAAGAAGTTGAGGGAGGGTTCTTTTGGGGGGATAGAAAAGTGCCCCCAAAAGAAGGGGCTGTTTGTGGGTGTTACCCCTTCTCCAGGTGCAGAGGGGAATCTAGGCCATTATCACATCTTCCGGCATCTCCTGGCATGCTGAGTGTCAGCCGGCTTGCCAGGCTTGCTCAGAGGCTGGGGATGGCATTTGGCAGTAGCTGGTTTGGGTGAGAGCTCTAGAGCCAAAGGTCAGCATACTGCACGGGAGCTGGCTAAAGCTCCCTGATCCTGGGGCCAGGCTGTTCTGCCCCACGGCCACTGGAGCAGCCTCACGGTAGTGCTTTGGCCACACGCTGCCTGCCAGCAGGGAATCCTCAGCATGGATACCTGCCAGAGCAGCAGAGACCTGTGCCTGTCACTGGTGGGGTTTGTGGGCTCTGGCCTGGCTGGAAATATTGCACTGAAGCCTTTTGCATTCTGCTGGAGACAGGCGGCCTGGAAGGGGGGCAGGTTTGTATTGGCCTCTCTAAAGGGTTATTTTCCTGCCTATCCCAGGAGCCTTTTTGCATTCCCACCCTTGCTACTAGTGGGTCAGGTGATCCACGCAAGCCAGCCTGGTCTGAAGGGGGCTAAGAGGGTGGGTGTGGAGGAGGGTTAGGGTCTAGGGGAAGCTGCATGGTGCAGATCTCATGTGAGGGGGAGGCTGTGCTGTACGTGGCCCTAACAGAGGGTTGTCACCCGAGTGAGCGGGGGGAAGGAGCAGAGCCTGTTGGAGTGGCAGCTGGGCTGGGGCGCAGTGGCCCAAAGCGGGGCTGGGGTGGCTGGGTGCTGGGAAGGCAGGTGGGAGCTGGCTGGCCTGGGTGAGTGCCAGTAGGGCACATGCTCTCCCAGGTTCTGGTGGTGGTGTTGGTGTCTTTGCTGTAGAGGGACTGGGGGCTCCCTGACCCTGGGTCTGCTCTTTCCCACCAGGAGAAATCACTTTTGCAGATGGGCCCCTCTGACAGCGAGAGACCCCTGCAGGTGCCCAAGGAGATCTGGCTACTGGTGGACCACCTGTTCAAGCACGCTTGCCATCAGGTGAACAGAAAGGGACCGTGCCTGCACGGAGAGCTGGTGACCGGGGGAGACACCTTGGCTCAGTGAATCGGTAGTACTCCGACCATGACTCAGGCTGGGTGTTTGCAAGGCCGAGGCTGGCTCCTCAAGGCCTTGGCCATCGCGCCTGTGCTCAGCCTCAGCCCAGGCTGTCCTGGAGCCCGTGTAGCCTCCCTCGGCTGCGCTGTCTGCCCTGCAGCTCTCAGGAGGGTGCCCTGACTGCGCTGTCATTGGCAGGAGGACCTGTTCCAGACGCCTGGCATGCAGGACGAGCTGCAGCAGATCATCGACTGCCTGGACACCAGTATCCCCGAGACAATCCGTATCCTTCACAGTCCTGAGGGTGGAGCCTGGCTCCCTGCCCCTCCCAGGACTCAGCTCACCATGGAGACCCTGCTCTCTTGCCTTCCCTGGGGCAGGCTCCCTGCTGGGGGAGCTGCCTCCATCTCACCCCTCTGCAGGGAGCCACTCGAAAACACCAAAGCCCCACAGGGCCCCGGGTCAGAAGAAGGGGACCATGTACAGGAGATGGCTATGCTCTGCACAGGAGGTGCTGAGCGATGCCTGCAGGGAGCTCTGGGAGGAGCCTGATGAGAGAGCAGAGATGCAGGTGTGGGCGTGAGGGTGGAGGAGGAGGGACAAGAGGAGACAGGGCGGGGGTTGGCTGGAGCCTTTAGCAGCAGCATTTTGGATTTTGGGAGGGGAGACGGGAGGCTCCAGCATGGAGCAGGGCTGCAGCAGGGATCTGGGGAGACACTAAAGCCCATGCTGAGGACGCGTGCTGGAAGTGGGAAGTGAGGAGGATAGTTGAGCTGTTAACAGCGAGAGAGATGAAGGGGCCAGATGGGGACTCCGTTTTGGAAATGTTCTGTTTGTGATGAGATATCCAGGAGGTGTGCACAGCAGGGGGTGTTGGAGGGAGGCTGGGGGTGTGCACGGGGTATGTGTGCACGCATGAGGGAGTGCAAAGCAGAGGGGCCAAGGGTGGGTACTGCAGGGTGTGTGTGGTTGGAGTGCACGACAGGAGTGTTGAGGGGTGCACAGCAGGGGGTGTCGGAGAGGGGTGGGGGGTGCACACACACATGGAAGGTGCAAGGCGGAGGTGTCAGAAAGGACAATTATTCCCCTCCCCTGCCCCGAAAAAAAAGTGTCCTGATTTTTTACACTTGCTATCTGGTCACCCTACCCCCCTCACATCCACAGCTGTACACACCCCCCACACCCTGTTGTACGTGCACACACACCCCTGCTGTACACCTCCTCGACACTCCACCCTGCCACCCCTGCTGTACACACCCCCTCCATCACTCCCCCACACTACCTGCAGTACGTACCCCCAGCCCCTCCGGCACCCCCTCACATCCCCTGCCGTACGCACCCCCGTTCCTTCTGACACCTCCGCCTTGCACCTTCCATGTGTGTGTACGCCCCCCACACCGTGTGTGTGCACCCCCCATCACTGCCAAAGTCCAGGGGCTGGCATGACAGCGCTTCCTGGGGCAGCTCCCAGCAGCGTACCCGCCCGCCGGCAGGAGCCTGCAGGGGGTTTCTGCATGCTGCACCGGCTCCCTCCTGCCCAATCAGAGCTGCGGGGATGGGGCTTGCAGGCGCCGGCAGCGGGCAGAGCACCCTCCGCCCGCCCACACACCCGATCCAACCGTGGGAACCAGAGGGACCTGCTGGATGCTTCCCGGGAGCCGCCCCAGTTAAGCACCGCCGGGACTCCCCACCTTGCCCCCCCGGCAGGTCCCTCTGGCTGTTAGGGTCGGCGCCCCGTGCGCGACGCAGAGCGCCGAAGAGCGCCTCCCCGGGCTCCCACCATCCAGGAAGCGCAGTGAGTTGGCGCGGCTGTGAGCTGGGGGAGAAGCCCACCCCAAAGCGGCGGTGCAGCGCCACTGGAGGAGCCGCCGCCACCTAGCTCTGGGTGGCTGGAGGGGGCCCCGGCACCGCCCCGCAGACTGCATAGCTCTGCTCCCCAATCACCGCGCAGACAGCTTCCTGCTGCGCACGGGCTCCATTCAGTGTTGGGCGCCGTGCGCGCCAGCCAGCTGGGTAAATAGCTCCCTGGCCCCCGCCACGCCGCCCCCACGCAGCCACCCTGCCCGGGCTGCTGCCCGCCAGCAGTCATAGAATCATAGAATATTAGGGTTGGAAGGGACCTCAGGAGGTCATCTAGTCCAACCCCCTGCTCAAAGCAGGACCAATTCCCAACTAAATCATCCCAGCCAGGGCTTTGTCAAGCCGGGCCTTAAAAACCTCCAAGGAAGGAGACTCCACCACCTCCCTAGGTGACCGAACAAGGGCGTTTGGCCGGGGATTGCAGCCTGCAGTGGCTGGAGGCGGGGAGGGCACTGAGGGGTCCGCGGCAGAGAGCAGGGGCAGGTGGTGCCTCGATGTGGGGCAGTTTCCCATGTGCGCCCCTCCCTCCCCCTGCCAACTATCTCCCTCAGCGGGAGTGGGGGTGGTTATAAAGCCAGGAGGGAGAGTTGGTGGCCACTTTGGGTGAGTCTGCACCACCGTTTAAGCGCAGGGTTAGTGGGACTTGAGTCAGCTGAGCTGTGTTAGGGAGCCCTGGGCTTAGGGTGACCAAAGGTCCCAATATTAGAGGCTTTGTCTTATATTTGGCGGTGATGGGGAGCGGTCCCCAATATCGGGACAAAGGGCGTCCCGACCGATGTGTGGTCGGGATGTGGGACAAATGTGTTAAAATCGGGACTGTCTCGATAATATCGGGACATCTGGGCACCCTAGAGCGGGGTGTTGGATGGGGGTGCATATGGCAGAGGGTGGGTGGTGGTACACGGCAGGGGTGTTTGAGTGGGTGGAGGTGAGTACGGCAGGCTGTTGGGGGGGCCCATGACGGGTGCTGGACGGGGTGGGGGTGGGTACGGCAGGAGGTGGGGTGTACATGGCAGGGGTTTTTGAGTGGGTGGGAGTGAGTACGTCAGGCTGTGGGGGGGTACACAGCAGGGGTGCTGGAGGGAGTGGCAGTGCGTACGGCAGGGAGAGGTGGGGTGCACGCCGGGGGTGCTGGAAGGGGCAGGGGTGTGTACGGCAGCGAGTGGGGTGTGTGCACAGCGGGGGTGTCGAAGGGGATGGAGGTGCATATGGCAGGGGATGTGAGGGGGGGGGGGGGTCGAGTGCATGAGTGTCGAGGGGATGCACAATGGGGCTGTAAGAGGGAGCAGGGCTGTTCATGGGGCATATTTGCAGGGGTCTCGGAGAGGGACAGGGTGTGCACAGCGGGGGTCTCGGAGAGGGACGGGCTGTGCACAGTGGGCTGTGCAGGGCCCTGGCTGTTTGAATAGAAGGGGGTAGAGGGAAGCACAGTTGAGGAGGCTGCCTGAGGAAAGGGGGAGCCCAAAGCCAGAGAAGGGTGGGGGAGGAGGCTGAAGGAGGGGTGGCAGAGAGACACCAGTCATGGGGGCAGCTGGGCACTGTGCAGGGCGGTACTGGAGGAGATTGCTCCTTGACTGGGCGTGGCACAGCGGGCAGCAACCACTCGGTGGCTGAGGCACTCCTCATCTTCCTGGAGGCTCTGCCGGAGCCGGTCATTTGTTACGAGCTGTATCAGCGATCCCTGGACTGTTCCCACGACAGTCGGCTGTGTCGACAGGTGTGCGCCTCCCTCCCCCGTCACAGGGCCGCTGGGGCTCCCCCCGCTGCAGTTAGCAGCACTGGTCTCTGAGGCTGGCGCACTGCCCCCTTGCCCACCCAGGCCACCTGACTGCAGTTAGGGACCCTCTGGCCCAAGGCCCTCTCCTGGGGTGGGCGGCCAGTGTTCTGTGGCGGCACGTGCCTGCCGTGGGGGCTGGGGAAGCTGGCTCGGGAGGTTTTGGTCCAGCAGCTGCAGGCACATACGTCTCCTCTGATGTGTGCCTGAGGCAGGGGCTGAGCCTGGAGGGCTCCTCCTCACAGGAGTCCTGCTGCTGAGGAAGGCCAGTGAGGCCTGGCAGGTGGTGCTGGGCATCCTGGAGCTGTGGCAGTCTGGGAGGGGCACACAGCCTGATCTGGACCGGCAGGAGGGGCCGTAGCAGACTGTGCGGGCATGGGGGAAGGAGGAATGCATGCTGCTGGGGGAGCTTACCTTTCCCCCCTTGCAGGTGATTTCTCACCTGCCCCGGTGTCACCGCAACGTGTTCCGCTATCTGATGGCTTTCCTGCGGGAGCTCCTGAAATACTCGGAGGACAACAATGTCAGTGCCAATATGATTGGTAAGAGCCCAACCCGCCCCCGTGCCTGCTGCCGTCTATGTAGCGTCCACACAAGCCTTGCCCGCGTGTCTGATGCAGGATTTTGCCTCTCTTTACAGCCACTCTGTTCACCAGCCTCCTTCTGCGACCTCCACCCAACCTGATGTCAAAACAGACTCCACAAGACCGCCAGCGTGCCATCAGCTTCCTCCTCGGCTTCCTGCTTGGGGGGGACGAGGAGTGACCTCCCTGCCCCCGATGCGTGGGACCTACTGCCTGTGGTTTGGTGGGGGCCAGGCCCACCCCATAGCCCTGGAGGTGGGTGGGGGGAAGTCTCTAAGCTATGCTACAGGTTGTGTTTATCGTCAGAAAGGAAGTGGCCTCCCATTCTACCCCCTGCTGTACTTACACTGCAGAGGACTTGTAAACTCATCACACTGCTACCCAAGCCACAGCCCTCCACGGGACGGGGGCTGTGCGTGAGCCCGGCTCTCTGGGGATGTGCTGGTTCATCCCCCAGCATCCCTTCCCTGCCAGTGGAGTTATTTATGGGAAGGGCAGACCAGGAGCTCCCTGAGGGCCTGGAGGTTGGCCAAGGTGTCCCCTGGCTGGACTCTGCTGCTCTGTGTGTATATGTATGTGTACACACTGACACCTGTGTGTCTTGCCAGCTGCGCAAAGGGGCTTCCCTGAGTGTGCATCCCTTGTCTTGGATCCAGTGTGTGCCAGCAGCAGCACTGAAAGGGTTAATCAGTCCTTTGGCCTCTCCAGTCCCTTCAGCGCTGCATAGCCTTTCCTCTCCGCTCTGTTGTTTGTGTAATGCGGCCTCTGCATTGCTCACCCTGCCCTTCCCCCAAGCAGGGTAGCCTTACTCTGGCTTGTTGGCACCTGGCCCAGTGCTGGGGCAGTGAGCAGGGGGGCCCTGGCCCGGCTTCTGGGGTGCCAGTGGGGTTGCTGGTGGAATAATGGGGTGATGGTGCAGCCTCACTGGGGAAGGCTGCAGGGAAGGGGGAGGCATCTGTGGAGTTGGGTTGGGGGGGGACAGTTTAGTCTCCTGTGAGAGCGGGGCGAGGGCTCAGCCTCCTGGGAGTGGGCTGGGGTAGCTCAGTGGGGCTGTGTGGGCATTTGGCAGGTCAGAATGCTGCAGCCAGGGGCTGCGGCAACCCTACAGCCTCCTTCACGCTCGCCCATGGTACGCTCCAGCCCTCCGCTGTCAGCCACCAAGGAGGGGTCCTCCTTCCTGTGTGCGGTGCTTGTTGGGCCCCTGCCCCAGCCCTGTGCTTTTTGCTACAGCTGAGCCCAGCACCTTGCTCCTGCCTCTGCATGCTGGGCCCACTGCTGTCAGTGCAGAGCCCTTGCCCTGCTCTCCAAGGGGATGGAAGATCCCAGCCTCTTTGGCACTTGTTCCCCTTTATGTGCTGATGTTCTCCCCTCCTAGGGCTCAGCTTTAGGTGGGGGGATGTGCCATGTGCCCTGCCCAGTGCCTGGGGAAGAGACTAGTTGGGGCCTACATCATTCACCCCTCTGCTGCTCCGTTTCCCCTGGGGCAGGGAGGAAGAGCTGAAATGCTGGGAGGGGGGGTGCTGCTCCCAGTATCAGTGCTGGTGGGGTTCTCCGAGCTGTGTGCCTCCTGTCTGTGTCTGAGGCTGGGGAGGGGTGCATGCGGGAGGGGGTCACCAGAACACTAAGACCTACCAGCTTTGGCCATAGGCCCAGCCCGGGCAGCTCCAGCACCAGGAGCTGAGGTGTGGGCCGGAGCCACAGGAGAAAGGAACCTCAGGGCCCAGGCAACTCAGTAGTTTGGGGGAAGGGAATGGGTCCTGGTCAGCAGCAGACCCTGGGGATTCAGTGTCTCTGGTAAGTGTCTGGAGGAAGATCCTACCTCCCCCCCCCCCACACACACACAATGCCAGGAGAGGGGAAGGCCCATATCCCCCAGCCCCCCAAGAGAAGGCTCTGCACTCAGGCTGTCCCGTGGGGCTCTCCCCTCTGTTTCCTGTGCTGCTCTGTGTGTTGTCCTGTTGCTCGGAGCTGCCCGGGGCTCCTGTACCTTGGGCTGTTTCTTTTTTATTACATAATTTATTAGAAAACTGTTTATTCCAAATAAACCTCCATTGTGCAATGAGTGAAGTGGTGTTACAAGCCCCCAGACCTGCCTGTCCCCTGTGCTGCCCAGCAGGGCAGTAAGTGCTTTGGGCTGTCCTAAGGCAGCAGCTTGGAGCTGCACGTCATCCCCGGGCCTACGTGGCATGCATGGCACAAGGGGCTTATGCTCACCACTGCTGCCAATGGCACCTGCTTGCGGAACCTGCAGCCCAGCCCAGCCTGGGATGGTGTTGGAGTGTCTGCCGGCTCACCTCTGCACCATGCACCGGGGTGCCCATGCTAAGGCCTGGGCCTCGCCATCCAGCTGGTATCCCGGACAGTGGAGGAGGCTGAAGGTAGCTGATCCGAACTGGAGTGCTCCCCAGGCCAGGCTGTGGAGTTGGCACTGCCAGGCAGGGCTTCAGGACTGGCTCCCTCACCATCACTCAGCACTGCCAGCAGCAGCTGCATGTTTTCTGGGATAGGAAACCTTCCAGGTGTTGGGGGAGAATGGCTGAGGGGCAGCCCAGTTGAGGGTTCCCAGTGAGCAGAGCACTGCTGCTGATGCGGGCACTTAGCAGAGCTGGCCCTGCAGCATGCTCCAGCCTCTGGTGCACTCCTGCTCCAGGCCACTCTACTGAGAAAGGGAGCCCCAAAGTCTGCTCCTGAGCCTGGCCCTGCCCCAAAGAAGGGGGCTGGGATTCAGCTTTTTGGTAGGAGCTCCCATGTGCCACCAGCTTCCCAGCACCTTGCTCCCCTTTCTCCCAGGGCGAATGTCCTCATGAAGCTGCCCTGCAAACCTGCCCTGCTCCCCAGCAGCAAGAAGGGCAAAGTGCAGGTGCTATAGGTGTGGGGTGGGGAGCCTCCACACAGCAGCAGGAGGCAGGAATCCCGGCACTGTGTGCCCACCCCCACCAAGGAGAAAGTACCTGGGTAGGGGAAATAACTACCTTGGCCTCCTCTCCCACTGCCTGTAGCTCAGACAGATAGGGGGCTTTGACTGTGCACAGACCACCCTGCAAAGGTGAGGCCAGGTGCCTCCTACAAGGATTACTGAGTGGTCTGGGCACTTGCTAGCTAGCATCCCCTGTTGGCTGGGATGTGACCCACACTCACCCACTGCCCCCTGCGGGGACCAGCTGAGCTTCATCTACCCATCTGCTCTGTATCTGGGTATGGCCTGTGGTGAGTGGTCTCAGCCCTCTGCCATGGCTGGGGCACTTGGCACTGCCTCACAGGCCCTGCCATCCCCCCACATTGCCAACCCCTTTCAGCCATGCAGGGAGCGTGGCAGAGATGCCATGTTGGGCAGACCTGCTCTGAGCCAGCAGCCTCCGCACCAGGGCTTCCCAGGCTGTGTGCAGCTGAGCCTGCGCTCGCCAGTTTAGGGTCTTTACACAACAGCAATAAACAACCCCCAGGGCACAGCACAGAACTGTACCCAGCCATGCCCAGCAGACTGCTAGTGGGTGCTTCGGTCATAAACACTGCCGCCACCACAGGGCTCCCACTACTGAAAAGGATCCTGGCCTCTCCATACCTGCTGGGGAAAGTTTTCCTGTGGCCCTGCAGCAGACGGGCCCTGAGAGGAGCTGGCCCAGGGCCTTTCAAATCCACAGAGAAAATGCAGCCTCAAAGCCCTGGAGCAGAGCTTTCCCGCCTCCCCCATGCAGCATCACAGCTTCCCAGGTGGGCCAGTTCCTTTCCCTTCTGTGGGCTCACCACCTCTGCACCCCCAGTGCAACCCTGCTGCAGGGGACAGGGCATGAGGGCAGCAGCAGGGACAGAAGAGCAGGTGGCCCCAAGGGCTCATGCACCCCCCACATTGGGAACCCCTGCCCTAGAGACCCACTGTCTTAAACCCAGCCCCAAGGGCCATAAAGGCTGCAGGCTGTTAAGGGACCGTAGAGCTGGGGAGGCTCCAGGGGCTGGGGCTGGATCAGGCTGTCCCAGCTTCCTCCCAAGGGTTTGACTTGTGGAGCCCTACGGGCCAGATGCTGCATCCAGGTAACTCCCACTGCACACAGTGGGAATTGATCAGTGGCAGCAGCTGCTTAGCTGGGCTCAACTGCGATGCAGGAGGCTCTCATGGCACCTGTGTACACTCTGCAGGGGTGGCCTGTTGGGGCTTGCAATGGGCAGGGGCACAGGAGACCCAGGGATGTCTTGCCCACTGGCAGAGGGCACAGGGGTGCATTAGGGTCACAAGGAGCCCCTGGGTCTGGTATTTACATACTAGTGTGAGGTCTCTGTGGCTGTCATAATCATGGTGAGATGGATATGTGGACGCCAGGGAGGAGTTAGGTGTAGCTACTGACGGTTCTCTTCATAGGGTCTGGAATATGGGACCAGTCACCGGAAGTTGATAAAAGAAGAAAACTTGGTTAAGTTTCCTTCTCTCAGGTTGTCTGCACATACATTGAGTGTTGCACGCTTCCTAGTGAGCGCCAAGTTACAGTCTGAGCCACAGGCTCACCATGTGACTGCCCAGTCTTCAGGGAAGATTCCAGCTAGGGAAACCCAAGTGGCGGGGTGGGGGCTAGCCTGTTCGCAAGTACAAACAGTGGAGTTTTGGACTGTAACTGTAGGGCCAGAAACTCATGCTGCATCCTTCCCCTAGGAAGTTAGCCAGCAGGGGGTTTGCACAGAGCCGTAACCTGCTATTTTTGCGCCCGAGGCAAGAATATAAAATTGCGCGCCCCCCACTTGCTCCTCTGGCCTCGCCGCCCCCCCTTGCCTCC